CTTTTCTCGGAGTCTCTTTTTGATTTTTTTTTTTTTTCTGTTTTTTTATTTTTCTCTTGGTCTCTCTTTTTTTTCTCTTGGCTTCTTTTTTTTTTTTCTCAAGGTCTCTTTTTCTTTTTTTTTTCTCTCAGCCTCTTTTTTTTCCTTGGTCTCTCACTTTTTTATTTACGCAGTCTCTCATTCTTTCTCATTTTCTTTTTTTCTCTTGGTCTCTTTTTCTTTTCTTTTTTTTCCTCTCAGTCTCTTTTTCGTTTATCTCTCAGTCACTTACCTTTTTTTTTTTTTCACTTGGTCTATTTCACTCATTATTTTTTCTTTTGGCCTTTTTTTCTTTTTTCTCTCAGTTACAATTTCTTTTTTTTTTTTTTTTTTTTTGTTTTCCCTTGCTCACTTTCTTCTTTTTTTTTTTTTACTCTCAGTCTCTTTTTCTTTTTTTTTTCTCTTGGCCTCTTTTTCTTTTTTTCTTTCAGTCCTGATTTCTTTTCTTTTTTTCCCTTGGCCACTTTTGCATTTTTTTCTCTCTCTCTCTCTTTTTCTTTTCTTTTTTTTCTCTCCGACAATTTTCAAAGGGTTTGTGAAGCATATTTTTTATTGTATTTTTTTTTATTTATTTTCAAAGGATTCATTTATTAACTGGAAGAATGCACAGATCCTCTGACTCGGAAACCATTTTTTGTCATTTGATGATTGACTATTTTGGGGTTTAATTCTGTCTTCACTTCACAGATGTACTTCTTATATGAGCCAACATGCAGTTAGATAGAAATATCCTATTTAATAAAACTTGCGATTATAGCAGCATCTAACATGTGACACATTTTGCACCATGGTGCTATAGTGGATAGAGCATGCACAGGCAATTGATCACTTTAAACAATTCAATTGTGTAGGTTGTTCAGTGGAAACAGAATTTAATAAATCCTCATCTGTCATTCTTGATAGTAGAAATATATATATATATATATATATATATATATATATATATATATATATATATATAGTGTACATAGAAGTCAACACTTAGAGGCAACAGTCTGTTTCATGCTAGATGCAATCGTCAGGCCTGACAATTGCATATAGCATGAAAACAGACTGTCGCCTCTAAGTGTTGACTTCTATGTACACTTTTATATTTACACACAATCTATCTCTGATATTGAGCACTTTATCCCATAAATATAGCACATCTTAAGACTATATTTCTTATATAAATTCCCAAGAGGATAGAATCTAGGTAGAACTCAATGTCCAGGACAGAGTAAGAATATAATATAAAAGGCTCAAACACTAATATTCCATGGTTATAATTTATTACATTGGAATTGTAATCATGATCCAAATCAGACCTACAAATTCAAAAGTTTTTGAATTTGTAGGTCTGATGAATTGGATTGTGATTATGATTCCAATGTAATAAATTATAAATCATGGAATATTAATGTTTGAGACTTTTATATCATATATATATATATATATATATATATATATATATATATATATATGTGTGTTTTTGAACAATAAAAATCTTAAAACTTAAAATTTCAGACAAATTGAGTTGTATATTATTATTTTTGTTTTATTTTTAAGTTAGTTTCCTTGATTAGTTTTGACCGGCATGGTCATCGTCAGGAGAAAAAAAAAAATTCCTGCTTGTTAATTGCAGTGAACTACAGGGGTGAATGTCTCTGAAGAACGTGAACTTTGCCTGTAGTTTTCATTAAGATTTAAATATATAATGAAAGATTTTTACTATAGTATTCAATATTTGCAATAGAGCATAGATAAATTTGATTTTTTTTAAATACAGAAAAATTACTTAGTGTAATTATCCGTAATATGAATTGTACCTGACTCCTCAGTTTCATAGCACTGTGTCCACCACTTTTCAAGGAAGGTGGGGGTTGCTTAAAATATTTTCAATTGTTATTGGATGCAAATTGAAAGGAAAAGAAAAAAAAAATAATATCACAAATGGAAATATTTAACAAACCCCTTGAAAAGTGGACACAGTGTCACGAAATTGAAGAGTCGGGGATAATTCCTATTACGGATAATTACAGTAAGTAATTTTTCTGTATTTAAAAAAAACAAATTTATATAAAAGAATAATTTATTTTTAATACATTTTTATTCAAATGTTATTTTTAACGGATAACTGTTTAAATTAGATGCACTGCTTTTTTTTTTTAACCTGTGTATTTGTTTACCGAAACTATGTCTCCTTTTGTAAGAGATGCCACCATTTGATTCACTGTGCATTAGACTACTTAACCAGCCAAGATTCTAGTTACCTTTTTTTAAAAGCATACATGAACATACTTTGTTATAGTTATTAGAAAAATTTAATTTCTTCATTGTAGTTATGGAATTATTTTGCAAAACTAGTCAGCTCCCTGAATCGCTTATTTAAAAAAAAAATCCTCTAACTACAACAGATAAATTAAAATTTTAAAATAACTATAACAGAGCATGTTTGCACGTGTTATTTTAAAAAAAACAACAAAAAAAAACCCCCCCAAAAAAACACCATCACCATGGAATGCAGATTTTATTGCAGTTACAATATGTGGTCATTGTAATTTTCCCCTGAAGATGATCTTAGAATAGATCGAAAGTACTTGGGTTAGAAAAAACTATGGTGGTTCCTTGATGATTATATAATTGATTAGACAACTGGAAAGGATCAATATGAGAATAAAGGGACAGAATATGTCTATATTATTCAATGAAACATTATCGAAAATCTAGATTCTCATATGGATGTCATGGTGTTTAATTCCTTCAGAAGTATCCACACTATCAGCTTTCTGCGACCATTTTCTTAGATCAACGACTAAAAAAAAAAAAGCCTCAAGCAAATGAATCCTCTCAGATTTAAAGAAAACAACCCTTCATCAGATCTTATAGACCGGAGCTACAGAATCACAATGGAAGAGCTTTATCAATTAAGTCATATCATTTTAAAGACTTCCAACAGCAGCAACAACTAAAATAGATAACAAAGGAAGAGCTTTATCAATTACTAGCAGGCTTTGACTGCTTGCTATCAATTTGCAAATTAAGATATATTCACTACTTGAAATCTTTGAAACAAAAATTTTAAATGAACATTTCATTCATGAATTGGTTGTAAACATGAAAGAAAACATTTGTGATTATTCAGAAACTGATGTTTACCTTAGAAAGATAAACTGGTTAATTTTTCTAGGAAAAACTAGTTGTTTTTGAATAAGTCTAATTTGATATAATAATAAACATCCCTATCGTTAATGTTATCAAGCCATTTTTCTCTCATTCTAATTTGTCAAATTTTGAAAGAAAACTAACGTCTGTGAAAGTAATATACACCTGATGAAGGCCGGACAGCACAAAGACCGAAACTCTGTGCTAATAATGAGAAAAATAAGTTTGCATATAAATGATTATAACTCCACATTGTAGAAACTCAGACAGAAAAATGCTTTCTTTTTATTGCTACTGTTCAGCTGTTCTTCAATGTAATTGCTATTGCTTTACTGTTAGACACCTTCACATATGACTGAAAGTAACCTGATCTGTCCTAGTCTATGATTATCAGTATTATATACTTCATGAGTTCAAGCGCCCTAAGAGGCTGGCATCCTGCTCTCAGCCTTTCACTGTCGAAACTACTAAATATAGCCATCTCTTCTACTCCAATAGCTTCATGTCTTGCCTGTGGAACTCCCTTCCCTATTCCAGTTTCCCTGAGAGCTATAATCTCCACCTATTCAAATGTAATGTCAATCGACATCTCCAGTTGCCTTGATCTATCCACTATCCTTCTCCTCATCCTTTCCTCTATCACTCCTATCTGATCTTGCTCCAAATCTTCTGTAACCCCTTGCGCCCTAGAGGTTTCCCGCCTTGCTTGGGGTGAAACGCTTAAAAAAAAAATACATACATATATATATATATATATATATATATATAAGCATTTCACCCCAACTAGCACACAAGGGGTTACAAAGAAGGAAAGTAAGAGTAAAGAGGTGTTTGAGGAAAGGATAAAGAGAAGGATGTGGATCAAGATCAAGGCATCAGAAGATGTCGATTGACATTACATTATAGCTATCAGGGAAGCAAGTAAGAGGAAGGGAGTTCCACTGGTGGGAAGTGCGAGAGAAAAAGCAGTCACATTTAATTGTTTCAACAATTATCTGCACTTTCACCACGACACATAAGTTTATCACATTACTTCCATCTTATGTATGCTTATAGGTGGTACTATTTTTGCTGGATTGTGCCAGTTTTCTTGCTGCTGTTACAGTGTAAACATAGCCGCTCTGTTAGCAGTGTGCACCAAGGAGGAACAAAGAGCAGTGATCTGATTTCCCTGGTCAGAAGGTGTGTCAGGGGCTGAAATTCATCGGAGATTTTTAACACAATACAGCAACAGTGTACTACTTCATAGAAGCATGTATGAGAGGAGAAAGAAGACTAAAAGTGGCCGGATAAGTGTGATACACAAAGAAGGAACAGTACACCCGTCAACCACTACTCCTGACGAGAAGAGTCAGCAAACTCGAGAGATGGTAATGGCAAACTGGCACGATAACATCGATGAGGGAGTATGTTCTTTGCAGATTCGGTTCACTGTTCTTTGTTCCTCTTTGGTGCATACTGCTACTGGATTAGCCGTGTTTACAAGAAAACTGGCATGATCAAGCTCAAAATTTGATCACGTGACCACACTAGTACCAACTATAAGCACACATGTGCAGAAGGCAGTATGACAAACCTAAAGGTATATTATGGGGAAAGTGTGGATAATTTTTGACTTACCCTTGTATATTTGTGTCAGGTTTAGTCTTAGACATGCTACTGGTAACATGTAACCAAGTACAAGAAGAAAAGGATGAAAAAAAAAAAAAAAAAGAAGAATACGTGGTATATAAGGGTTCTTTATTAAAACAGAAAAGGAAATGATCATTTGAATACGGGAATGAAGAATTTTGCCATTCAGTTTTGAGAAAATATTTTCACTCTCCAAATTTGTGTTTACAGGCAGCGTCTCGGGCTGAATGCAGAATCTGAAAGAGAGAGACAAGAAAAACATCAGCAACAGGCTTATTTATTCCACAGAGATATTACCGAATTTTTTTCTTCTTCTTTCAGACAAAGTTGTACACTTTAAGAAGGTAAAGACATCAAAGACTAGTTAATTGTACAGACGGAAACAATTTCTTTGTTTTTTTTTTTTAAAAATCCTGTGCTATGAGCTTGTAAGCTGCACCACATGCTGGAGGAGGTAGATTTAGCCTGGGGGGTGGGAACTACCACTGCTTGAGTTGACTGCAAGAAGCTGACTGATTGACCCTTTTTATCACTGTATGAAATGGCATCACTAAGAGGCTGTCATGTGGCTTGATCTCCATGAAAGGGAGATAATTGCCTTTTGTATCCCTAAACCTGTATAATAACAACTTTTTTGTGGGTGGGGGGAATCTAAACGTGTTGGAGTATATGACACATTTCTGCAGAGGTGGGGCATATTCAATATTTGATAATTTTGTGGCAATACGCACTTAAAGGTTTTAGGTAGTTTTGATCAACATTTCTTTTCATGGTTAGCCATAAGAAATATTAAATGTAGAACTACCTTACACTTAAGTAAAATAATAATTACAATATTAAGAATTTATTAAAGAAAATATCAAGTTTTATGGAAACAATGTTGACAATTATGCAATTAGTTATATAACAAATAAAATAATATAAATTTTGATGCTATATTTGATTTGCTGTTAGGTATTGTTCATTTTCTCCTTTGTTATTGGAGCTTTTTAGAATACTTTGGCTGAAATGCTAAGTTTCCTAACTTAAACAAACTGGAGATATTTTGTTTAAGCTTCGTTACTTCACTTTTTCCATTGTTGGTTTTAGATCGCTTTCTTCCAGTCATTTTGATAGGCAATTTTTTAAAAATTCAGAATGATCTAATTCCATTTAAAAAATAAAGCCTGCAAAGAGGAATATTCTAAATTAATACACGACCAAAAATAAAATGCTTTTGACAAAAGAACTTAATGATTTCATGATATGTAACAATAACGTAATGATATTTCGTAGATAAATCTACAGTTTATGTTACCTCATTTTATTGCATGGTTACAAACTATAAACCTGAATTGAGCTTTAAATATTGTGTAATTGGCTTTAATTATTTGTAAAATACTTGGACATGATATAATGATTATTTTGCATTGAAAAAAGCAATTTTTTTTTTTTTTATTGAATATGCCCCTCTTCTGCTGAACACGTCATATAATCTAGACAATTTCGTTTTGGTTTCTTTTTGTCTTTTTATCTGTTTTGTTATTAAATATCCCACATTGTGATAATAGACAATCTGCTAAAAAAGGTGAAATATTGTAAGTACCTGGCTGTAAATTTACTAGCAATTAAAGCACTTATATACATTTTTGTCTTAGTAAATTGCTTTCTCTTTTATTTAAAGTAGCATTTTTAAAATAAAGTTGTGGTCAGTCTCATTACAGTGAGAAACTAATGCATTTAGCGTGTTGTTTTGTAAAATATCCCTTTTGTGTTCATATAATCTTTTATTTAAATTCTTTGAGGTAATCATTACAGGTAATAGAATAAATTCTTCCTTCAAGTTTTAGATTATAATTTTATTTTGTATTAAGTCTCTTACAGTTTTAGACGTACTTGTGACATTTTATGTTGAGTTTACGTAAGTTCTTTTCAATTGTAGTTGGAATAGAGTTGGTGGATAGAAAAACATTTTGATTCGTTAAGTTTATCAGAGTGGTCCACTCTTTTATTTTGAAATATTTTACAAACCTTTTGTTTTGCATTGAATATTGGCCAAATGGATGAAGTGTGTCAAAAAAAAAATTTTTTTTCCCAATTTATCATAGATATTCCTAACACTGTTCTGAGATATAAAAATTTATATGTTGTTTTCACATAATAAAATTCTTGCAAATATCTTCTTTATAAATTTTAGAATGTTGTAAGTAGAAGTGTTTGTATATGTATTTGTAGTAGTAGTTGATAAAGGAATCCTTTTTATTGTTATGTTTTTTATACTGAAATGAAATAAATAAAAAACGTACAACAACAATAATATAAACAATAAAACTCGAGACACATGTTGACATTAATAACAAGAATTTATATTTTTCTTTTTTGTGATGTGAATTACAGATATCGTTATGGTGTGTGTTAAAAATGTTTTCAGTGTTACTGTCTCTTTTGTTTCTTTAAAAGTTTATGCTTACTTGTTTTGCTTGTTCTGAGAATTTTGTTGGTGAGGTTAACATTTGAGATCGTCAGTTTTTGATTTTCCGGAGGGATGAGGATATGTATGTGATAGACCTTTTTACTACTGCTACTGGTGGAAGGATCGTTTTTATAACCATGAAGTTTCAGACTTTAGAATGATGAAATATCCTTATTTTCTGTCATCACTGATGGCAAGATTATATTTAGAATGATGAAATATTATCGTTCTGGATCACAACACATTCTGTGATTAAGTGAATGGATCAAGTTCCTTTAGAATTTAAAGGTAGAGATCAGAGTTGGTCAATCTTTCAAATTTCAGAAGTTAGTTTTTAAGCAAAGTTTAACTTAGAACAAGGCAAAAAAAAAAATGGTGTCAAAAGACTGTTTTTTTTTTCTCAGCATCACTATTACTGTGTTTGTCTTGTCTGGTTTTCACATTTTGAGAGTGCTTCTCTTGCCTGAGAAAAACACTGGTGTTATATAGCTCTTCAAGTCTCAGACCAACGCTGATTATTGGCTAATACCTGCCTATTATCTTTTATATGCAAATAGCCAGTGCCATCTACTCTAAGTAGGTCTTTTCTCACCAGCACATTGTGGAAGGGGAGGCAACTCCTAGTGCTTACAACACCACATACAATCAACTTTTATCAGGCTGATCTGATTCTCTGTTACTATAATGCCTCAGTAATTTTTATGTTTTAATATTGATTGGTTTTCATTTTCCACAGTTTATAAACTCTTTTTCAGGTCATTTGAAGCTATAATATATTTTTATATTATCATCATTTTTTTTTTGGTTTAGTGATACAAATCTTACGAATTAACCCATAGCAGGGGGAGAAGAGGTAGATTCATACCTTTCCCAAAGGTATTTGCGCATAAGTGAATATAATGAACCTAACAGGATTTGGAACTCTGTTCTCTGATTTACAATTCCCAGACATTATCCATCACACTCTCCACACATTCAAACTTAGAGCACCTGGTATTCTCAAGTGGTACTGACCAGGCTCAACTTCGGTGACATTATGGAAACCAGTTTCAACATGATGTAGCTGTAAACCTTTTTATTGTTTTAAAAAGCTATTTTTAGAATTTTAATAAAACCATAACATATGTAACTAGCAAACATAACTTGCCTCGGAGTATTGAAACAAGTCTTGAGAAATAGAATATGTAAAAAAACAGTACCATAATATAAAACACATGATGCATATATTTTTTATATATGTACCTTATATATGTTCCAAAGGTTTGCATAGCTTGGGCTGATAACGGAGACAAGCTACTGTCTATAAAATGCTTCCCAGAAAGGCAGCCCGTCTAGGGAAAGGAAAACCCTGATTTTAAACATCCACTGCCTTGTGGCCACATCCAAACACAGAAAAAGACTATGGAAATAAATCTAGACAGAAAACCTGGATTGAAGCCCGGAAGCTGGTTTGCTGCCAACACTGACAACTTTCGAGCAACTCCTACAGACAAGCTGACCCCAAATGTAAATGGCCTTATGTGTTTGGATCTTATTAGTACAGCCGAGTGGGTGGGCATGGAGTCTGGGCAGCACATATACCATCACCTAGCCCTGTGGAGGTCACTCCAGTCTTGCCACCAATGGACCAAAAATCTTTTACTAAAATTTAAAAAAAAAAAATAGCTTTTTAAAGCCAATAAAAATTAGGGGCAGATAACTTTTACAAAAGAGATAGAAACAAAATCAAAAAAGTCTGAAAACAAGTAAAAATTTAATATATATATATATAATATAAAATTCTATATTGATCCTTGGATTTGCTAGAAAGATTTCACTACTTGTGTTCGTTTTTCAGCCTTGTATTTTTACATGATTAATTTCAAAGGCCTCCTTTATAAAATAATTGAAAGAAAACTGAATAAATGTTATTATCAAAAAAGTTATTAAACTTTCAGACACTTAGGTGACTTTTGGGACACCCTGTATAATGTCAAACTTTATTAAAGCCAAGAAATTGATTGTCTTTTTTGTACGCCTTCTCGGACTAATGTTTTCCACAAGTGGAAAGTTTATATTGAATCAATTGCTACGCCTGCTGCTAAGAAAGTTGGTTCCCTGTGTTGTACTAAACAATTTTTCTCGCCAGAATCTATCTTGCACTTTTATAAGTCTACTATTCATCCTTCCTTTGAATATTGCTGTCACATCTGGTCTGCTGCTGCTCCTATTTATTTAGAGATTCTTGATAAAATCCAAAGAAGAATCTGCAATGTCATTGGTCCTGACCTGGCATCTCGGCTTTAGTCATATTCTCACTGCTTTAACGTAAATTCCTTATACATTTTTTTATGAATATTTTCATGGTAATTGTTCGGATGACCTTTCCTCTATGGTATCTACACTTTATGAACTTAAGTGCAGTACTAGATTGGTGACAAGTTATCATATAACAGTTTCTTCTCCCACACATTTTGATTGCGGAACTCTCTTCCAGCTTCTTGCTTCCCAGTCAATTTTGATTTAAAAAAATTTAAGTGCAGTGCCAATAATCATCTACACTTAATTCTTGTTCTTTTATTATTCTCTCTCCTTAATACTTTTTATTTTTCTCATATTCTCTAACTTAGTCACCCCTTGCGTTTTAGTGGCTTTATTACCTTGCTCAGGGTGAAATGATTAAAAAAAAAAAAAAAAATTCACACAATATAAATTAATAATCTTGAAAATAAACAAATAGATAAACAGTGCTTAACATTTTTTTTGTTAGTTCTTGATAAAAATTATATATAAATTTACTTTTATTTGTTTGGGTTTTATTAAAATTCTAAAATTTTTTAAGGCAATAAAAAATACTGAGGAAGTTGTTCCACTGGGCTTAAGATGGAACAATAAATTATATAGGACTGGCAACTGGAAAGTTGAATCAACAGGAGATATGATAAACAACTATTTTATTCAAACTGCTGCTTGATCTGTTTTGCTCCCAGCATTCCCTAGTGGGACCGGAAGTGCTTACAATCATCATAATCAACATTACTGATGTTGTTATTAACAGAAGTATAAAGTAATGGTGGTTTTAATAGAAAAATATACTTTTGACTCACTTTTTTTTTTTTGGTCTGGTTCTATGTTTGCCAGTTTTTCTACACATATATTATAAACGTAAAGTTTGAAATTTTATTTTATTTACTGTTTGTTTTTTTACCTCAATAAAAGTAGATAGGTTAGCCTATCATCCAGTTCACATTCCTACCTGGTCTTTTTGTATAGATTTATATCTCGTTTCTGTTTAGGATTAGGTTTTCAGTTACTTAAAGTCTTTTCATTCTCTTCCATTCCCAGTAATGAGCTGTGTCTTTGTGGCATCTTGCTTAAGGTGAATTGATTAATAAATAAAAATAAAAATAGTCATTCCTAGTCAAGAGGAATGCAAGTTATCAAAAATGTATCTTAGTATTCCTGTACCTATCTGAGAAATACTGTACATGAGAAAGTTTGGAAACCAATCTTACCGGATTATCTAAATACTGACTGCATGAATAACACCAGATAGACATGTCCGAATAGCTGAGGGCCAGATTATGATCAGGTTCTGTTTTATTGTGTTCTACCATATGTTCATGCACATATCGACTGCAGAAGACCTAGAAGGACGGGAAAAACAAAAGTTTAAAAAGGAGATAAAAAATACCAGCAAGGTGACTTGGTACTATGAGGAACTAGTAATATAAAATCCTTGTTCGTTTATGCCTGAAAAACAAAAAAAAAATACCAGCAAGGTGACTTGGTACTATAAGGAACTAGTAATATAAAATCCTTGTTCGTTTATGCCTGAAAAACAAAAAAAAATACCAGCAAGGTGACTTGGTACTATAAGGAACTAGTAATATAAAATCCTTGTTCGTTTATGCCTGAAAAACAAAAAAAAATACCAGCAAGGTGACTTGGTACTATGAGGAACTAGTAATATAAAATCCTTGTTCGTTTATGCCTGAAAAACAAAAAAAATACCAGCAAGGTGACTTGGTACTATGAGGAACTAGTAATATAAAATCCTTGTTCGTTTATGCCTGAAAAACAAAAAAAAATACCAGCAAGGTGACTTGGTACTATGAGGAACTAGTAATATGAAAGAAAAAGCTTAATTTACTTCATAGGTGGAGGCTTTTGAAAGACACATGCAAATGCCATGCATTGTAAAGTGGAAAAGAGAGAGTCTGTTGTCAGTTGACAAAAGAACAAATGTACCCACAGGTGTTGTGCTTTTCCCACTTGCTGCTATGTCTGGGAGCAAAGCAGAGAAAAATATTTGTCTTCTTATAGACTTAACCAATGGCATTTGATGAAACCAAGTGGGATAATCATTTTGCAGTTCCTTTATTCTTAGCATCATGGGAAAATGTATTTCTTTTTCTTTCTTTTTCTTATCATTAATTATTATTATATTACTTTATTGATTTTATTTTGTTTTCACACAAATCCTTCATTAAAACAAAAAAATTGGTTGTTGATAACAGGAGAATATTGAAATTTCTACATTTAGCATATTTATTTTCTTCAATAACTGGTATTTATTGATATAATTAAGGCTGGATTAAAAAGAAAAATCTCTGTTTTATGACACCTCAACCTTTTATATCAAAATCTTTTCCATTTTTAGTTGCAGCAATGTGCTGTGTTAAAAAATAACCCTCATAAGAGATAGAACACAAAACTAGAAAAAAGTAATGTGCAACAACTATAATATATTTCTCAAAGAATAATCATGGCAATTAATAGATATTAAAACGATAGAGATCCATGATCACCAACATCTAAAAGTGACATGTCATTTATATTAAAATTATTTAATATTACAAACCAAACGTAATCAAAAAAATTAGCACAAGGTTATCAGTTACATCACTTATTAAGTTACCTCCCTTGAAACCAACGTTTTGTCAGGTGTACTGTTTTTATTTTTATGTATTTGGATGTAAACCTTTCGTTTGACACTGTCAAACGGAGAAAAATGGGGTGATTTGGACACGTTACAAGGCACCGTAGAAAGTGGACGTAGGAGAGGACGCCAACTCAAAAACTGGTTGGATATTGTCAAAGAATGGACATGTATGACTATACCAAAATTGTTGATGGCTGCCATTGATAGACCATTGTGGAGGAGATTCAATATGGTTTCTACATTCTGATCCTCCCCTACGATTACAAAAGTCAAGGGGATGATGATGACGATGATGTACGTGACCCCCCCCCCTTTTTTTTAATCATTTCACCCCAAGCAAGGCAGCAAAGCCATTAAGGCACAGGATGTTGCCGAGTGTGAAAGAATAAGAAAAAGAAAACTAATATTAAGGAGCAAGAACAATAAAGGAAGAGGAATCAAGAAGAAAGTAGATTGCATTTAAATTTTTGAAAACCAAAGTTGGCTGGAAGAGAGTTCCACAAGTGAAGAGTGCAAGAAAAGAGACTATTAGCAGATAGCATTTTTTTTTTTTTATTATTTCATCCTAGACAAGTCAATAAAGCCACTAAGATACAAGGGGTTACTGAGTCTGAGACAATATGAAAAAAGGAAAACATTATTAAGGAGAGAGAACGATAAAAGAACAAACTAAGACAATAAATAACGATTAACATTGCATTTAAATTTTTGAAGATCAAAGTTGCCTGGAAAGGAAGAAACTAGGAGACAGGACACAGACAAGAAGTACAGCAAAATTGTCCAATTATTAGATTAAGCTTTGAACTGATCTTAGAAGTGATTAAAAATATCTTACTGGAATTCTACAAGCTTTTTATAGCACTATTGGACTCTAATCTGAGCAATAAGAATGTATAATTACTCTCCAAGCTTAGAAGTATCATGATGAATTTGATCATAAATGAAAATGACATGTTCATCATTAATTAATCATAGCTAAGGATCGGAAGTTCATGAAGGATTGAAATAAAGTTCAAATATATATATTATTTCAGGATCATTTTCCAAATTTTCCTTATTCAAATTGATCATCGCCCTCTTTAACCTTTTAACTTTCTGTCCTAGAGTAACAAGTTGCCTCATATGTGTCATGTATGATTTCGTTTTCAAGTCTTTTTTCACTGTTCTTTTATGTGCCAAATATCTTACGGATTGAGTTGGATCTTTTCTAATTGATCACTTTAGTTCTAAGTTAAAATGATGATCCCTCTTTCAGTTGTGACCCCCTGATCCAGTTTTCCTCTCTACTGTTCCATCTTTTTTAAGCTTATTCACCATTCTCCTGATGGTTCTTGAATGAACTTTGAAGACGGAAGCCAGAGTATGAATGTTGGTACCATTACTGAAGACCTGAATGATCTTTTTCCTCTTACCATTGCTAAGTTGGGCTGACACAAAACGATTTTAACTTGTTCTCTTTCTAGCTGAATAACTCAAAGGGTTTTTCAGTGATTCTTACAAAAAATGGTATCAAGATTGCTAAGTGTTTTATCTTAAAACATGGAAAAAAGAAACTCAATTAGTTTAGTGTTTTTTTTTAGATATTAAACATTTTGCGGGATAGACAATAATCCAATGCTGTTACACATTTTTAATTTTATAATTATGAACAAAATTTTTTAGTTTTCTACCAACACTTGCAAAGCTAACCCTAAAAGTAAATCGTCCTGGGTAAGACGTTAAACTACGTCCAGCAGCAAGGCCTCCGATCAGGAGGTTTTGAGGAGCGTGGAACCACCTCTTAATTGCTGGTGTTCCCAGGTTCACCTTTACCCTGGGCGGTAACTATTTGCCCAGCTATGGGCAAATAGTTAACTATTACCAGCAATACCTTTTGGAAAAAAATTATTACCAGCAATACAATTTTGAAGAAAATATATTACCAGAAACAAATTTTTTACAAAACAAAATATTACCAGCAATAAAAATTTTTGTCAGCATAAAATAACCCATTGAGGTTGATATGCCATTAGACAAAATAAACCAAACCAAACCAAACCTAAAAATAAATTATATATAGATAGTTTTCAATGATCAAGTTAGCTTTCACTTATTCTTTCATACAACAATAGCAGCAGACATTGCATTAGTCAGCATTATTTGTTACCTCCCTTTGGTATTTTTACTGCATCAAAATGTCATTTTTTTTTTTACTAATCTTCACCTAATACAAGGATCAAGAGCTACTCAAGGTAGAGGTTTACTGTGTGGAGGTGTAAGAAATGACAAGCGTTAGGAGTATAGAGCTTAGCAGACTTTAGAAGGAACCCAAAACCCAATCTGAAACATGAAACAAGGGATAAACCTCTACTCCTGTTCAAAAGACCATGGAGGAGTATGAACTGGATGATAAGCATTGGAGGAGGAGAAAAAAAATAAAAAGTAAAATAATTAGTGAATAAAAATTTCAGAGTTCAGACGTTAGGAGTATAGAGCTGAAGCAGACTTTAGAAGGAACCGGACACTTTCAAAAGAACATGGAAGTGTGTGAACTACACGATAAGCGAACCTATCTGATATTGCGAGAGAAGGAAAGAAAAAATAATAAATAAATAAATAAATAGTGAATAACATTTCAGAGTTCAGAAGAAAAGAGTGGAGGCTGACCCTAGATGGAACCGGAAACCTGATCCCAAGCATGACAAGAGAAATAAATAGTAAATATATGATTACGACAATTAGCTCCAACTATATGTGTTACGGTAGAGTGAGTTAGGGAAATGAAAGCAAAGATATTATCTATTAAGTTTTAATTTTGTATAAGTTCAAATATCCTCTATCAAAATAAAATCGAGCAGGGGTATGCTTTGAATATTTGCTGTAAAGGTGAGCAGTGGAAAATTTTTCCATGTGAAAGTGGGTGATGACATTGGGAAACCCCTAAAGATGCTGAAAACAACATGGGCAGAGTATGTGTAAAGCATTTTAAAGAAATTGGAAACAAAAAGGATACTTACACTGAGTATCAGAAAAAGATGATTGAAATTTCTGGGAGATATAATGAGGAAAGAATGCTTGGAAAATTTAACACACCCAGAACATTATGAAGGCAAGAGAATCAGAGGGAAATGGTGAGCAAGCTAGCTAATGAGTTTGTGGAAGTGGATGACAGATCAGGGTGTGGGAAGAATGTTAAGATCTACAAAGGATAGGAAGATGTGGTGTGCCATGACCTTCCATATCTAGAAGGGACGTAGCAAAAAAAAAAAAAAAAATATGTTGGACATGAATTGATCAAACATACCTTATAGCAAGTAAGACACACCCAATTCTCTGTTGTATCCCCACATGTCTCACAAGGGTGGGATGTATCAAGTCCACCGTCAGGAACGGACTTTACAGATCCTTCCAGGTGGACACACCATTTGAGTGGCTCGACACAAAACATGGCTTCATGCTGAAACAGTAATGAGAAAAAAAGTAACTCATCTGCACACAGATAGTTGAATTTCAGAAGGTGACACACACATGTTACTACTACATCCAAAACAATAAAAGACTTAAGTCAATACTAAACAAAACAATAAGCTAAAACCTGAAGGAGTTTACTCCATTCCCTGTAATAATTGTCAGAAAAAATGCATAGGAGAAACCTTAAGTAATCTAAATAAAAGATTATATGAACACAAAAGGGACATATTACAAAACAATACATCAAATGTGTTGGTTGCCCACCATAATGAGATTGATCACAATTTTGACATAAAAACTGGTACTCTCTCAAAAGAGAAAATAATTCACTACAGTGTACATGTCTACATAGTGCCATGATTGAAAAATCAAGTACAGTTGTGTCCTGGCTCTTACAATATTTCACCATTCCTGGCAGATATTCTATTATCTCAGTGTGGGATATTCACTAATAAAAGTGATGGAAAGAAAGACTCTAAAGGAATTCGGCTAGATATAAAAAAAAAAATTCAAAGATACCCAGTACCTTTCGCAGGCATCTGTAGTCATACCAACAATAACAATCCTAGTCTGATGATGTCCTGAAGGTACAAAACTTAATGATCGAAATAAAAGTATAAAACTTAACATTACGAGACATATTAAAAACGAGCGAAGCAACTGGTTTCGCTCCCGCTCTTCAGGCTTCAACGGGAGATTTAATTTAAAAATAACACAGAATAATGTACAATAAAAGGAAACTGTGGGAGGAGAAAAAAAATAAAAAATTAAAAAAAAAAACATGAAAAGGAACTAGAGACAAACGACAGCGAGCCCTAACAAACACTCACATTGTTTACACAAGGAAGGCCTAAGGGACCCGATGTAAAGTGCCTCCAGAACCTTTAGATGAAATAAAGAGTGTGACTGGGACAACACAGTGAACCAGTCAACACTAAATCTGGCTGCACAATCTATATATATATATATATATATATATATAAAATTCTATATTGATCCTTGGATTTGCTAGAAAGAATTCACTACTTGTGTTCGTTTTTCAACCATGTATTTTTACATGATTAATTTCAAAGGTCTCCTTTATAAAATAATTGAATGAAAACTGAAAAAATTTTATAATCAAAAAAAGTTATTAAATTATTATTTCAGACACTTAGGTGACTTTTGGGACACCCTGTATAATGTTGGACTTTATTAAAGCCAAGAAACTGAATGTCTTTTTTGTTGGGCAACAAAAATAAAATATAAAAAAAAAAACAATTAAAATATAAAAAAATAAATGAAAAGATTAATATAAAAATACTCATATTAGGCAATTTTTAAAATATTTTCATTATAAGCAAGCATTTGATGAAAAATAATCTATTCTTCAACATAAAATGTAAATAAAAAATGATTTAAATATGAATATTAAATAAGTAAATAAAAAAAGTAATAGTAAATAATACAGAAGACATTTTAAAAATATTGAATTTGTTTACACATTTATTTTGCATAGGACAAATATTTAAATGGGTTTCTTTTACGCTATTTTTAAAATTCTTTTTAAATATGCTTGAATAAAACTGCAAAGTGAAGCAACATCGTTACGTGAATGAAGAAATCAGTGATGAATTTCTAGTGAAAGATATTAATAATTATCATAAATAAATAACAAAATGTTTAAAAGGTATATATTGCTGCCACATATTGTCAAGTACTCCTGCTATTTATTTAGAGATTCTTGATAAAAACCAAAGGAGAATCAGCAATATTATTGGTCCTTATCTGGCATCTCAGCTTCAGTCACTTTTCCAGCAGCTTTTCTATAAATATTTTCATGCTAATTGTTTGGATGAGCTCTTCACTGTGGTACCTAGATTATAAATTTAACCGCAGTACTAGATTGGCAACAAAGTCTCATTAATTGACAGTTGAGTTGGCTAGATGTATAGTTCTATGCTAAATAGTTTCTTCTCTTGCCAGTGGAAATCTCTTTCGGCTTCTTGCTTTGTGGTCAGCTTTGATCTTCAAAAATTTAAATGCAATGTCAGTTGTTATCTACTGTGTTCCTGATTATTCTTGCTCCTTAGTAATGTTTTCTAATTCTTTCACACCTAGTAACCATTTGTGTCTTAGTGGCTTTACTGCCTTGCATTGGGTAAATTCAATTTGATTAATATAATTTAAAAAAGCTTATTAAAAAAATATAAAAGTTATCTCCCTTTAATTTTCTTAGCTTTCTGATTCAATCTGTTTCAGTGAAGCCAGTTTTTGAGCAAATGACATTCGTTCCCTATTATAATTGCCTCCTATCCAAGTGTCATTATAGGAAGTGCCAGAGGGACGTTAATTTAAGATTAATTACAATCATGATAAGAAAAGAAAATGTCTTTGCTTTTTGTTTTTTCCTTATCTTATTAACCTTACACATCTTTAATAATATAAAAAAAAAGGTTTTCCATTTGCACAGAGACTTACATTTTTAGCCAAATGTTGCAAATACTTGTCTCTTCCATCTGGACTGCATCCACCACTGGCTCCAACGTCAGACATCAGGAATCACCAAAGGAAGAAACCACCTGCTTCAAAAATCTTAAGAAAGGAAAAAACTATATATATATATATATATATATTTTCAAGCAGGTTTAGTTAAATAATTCAATATATCAGCACTTAAAAGAAAGGTTCATGCTCACACTCACAGATTGGACATATATTGGTTGAAAATACATCTATATTAAATAAAAACAATCAAAAACTAAAAATCCTTGAATCCCTTCATATAAGAGAGCAAAAGCCCAAAATAAATAAAGTCAACTATTAGTATAGCAACAAAGTCCTTAAATGCTTATGAAAAAAAAATTATATACATATAAACAGAAACAAAAAACTTATTCTCCTTACACTAAAAAAAAAATCTTAAAAGAACACTTGAACTTTGAAATCTAGAATGCTGCATAAGCAGTAAAAAAAAAAAAAAGAACAGTTGGAATTCTTTAAATTCACAGAAACACATATACATACTGACAGACAACTTAAGTCCCTGAAGATAGTCCCAGTTGAGATTGAAAGTACTTGGGAAAATAAAAACTATTCAAAAGGACACATGGCACAGTGGATAATGGCGTTGGTTAGATCCAGTGACAGGACTCAAAGAGTTGTGAGTTCAATACCTCTTTAAGGCAGGGAAGAACTTGTGGAGGTGAATTAACAGAAAATAATTGATAACTGACATCTATTAGACATGGCACATGGAACTAGAGCAGTCTACCATAGTGAGCGAAATAAAGGTTTCAGTTCGACATTCCAACCACCTAAAGAAGGCCAGAGTGTACAACAGCCAAAATCTTGTGATAAATATGGCAACAAAGATGAGGACAATAGTCTGAATAATGTAAATAGTGTACATAATACCTCATCTCAGAAATATAGACAGATACTGAAAGGCCGAAATGTAATAAATATGGTAACAAAGATGAGGACAATAGTCCGAATAATGCAAATATTGTACATAATACCTCGTCTAAGAAATATAGATAGATACTGAAGAAAATTCTGGTATATTTATTTTTGTGTTGTTTGTTCATTGGTTAAGCAGGCCTCATGTCTATCTGTCCTGTCAAGTAACATTCATGTGTGTTTGTGTAACACAATTCTAGTTGGTCTATGCTGGATTTGGTTGATAATATAGACCTTGTTAGCCACAAGAAGAGTCATATTGCCAGACATTTCATCAATTGCAGTCAGTACACTGCTGGCAATAACTTAACATGCTGGGTGTATCAGGAAACCTCCAGAAACCGCACTTTCCACTGACAATATCCAGGTGGATTTAAAACATTAGTTCATGAATTTGGCGACAAAGTAACTGGGCCAAATGGTGTGTACTTGGGCACAGTGGAAACAGGGAGACCAATAACTAAGCAGTACTAAAATAAAATGAGATATTCCTAGACCTGGGCAGTGGAATGAGAACAATATACCCCTGTAGATTAAAGAAAGTGTTTAGTTTTAAATTCCCTCTAGATTAGCCAGATCAATATTCACCTGTTGAAGGTCCAAAAACAAAACAGCTGAAACCTTGTGGTAACAACAATGAGGACAATAGTTAACATGTAAATAATTTAAAATTTAAACATTTTTTTTTTAATCAAGTTTACTCCAAGCAAGGCAATAAAGCTACTAAGACAAAAGGGGTTACTCTGTGTGGAAGAATTTAAAAACAGAAATATTACTTTGGAGCAAGAACAAAAGAAGAGTAATCAGGAGGACAGTAGATAACATGATATTTAAATTTTTGAACATTAAAGTTGGCTGGAAAGCATGGAGTTGGAAGAGAGTTCCACAAGCGTGAAATGTGAGGAAAGAAACTGTTAACATAGAAGTTATGGTTACATCTAGCCAATTCAACTGTAAATTGATGAGACCCTGTTGTCAGTCTAGTACTGTGCTTGAATTCATAAACACAAGTTCCCCTGGTGAAAAGTTCATCGTAACAGTTGCCAGTGAAGTATTTATAGAAAAGGCATGTGGAGGTAATTTTATAGTAGTGGCAAAGTGACTGAAACCAATCTTTCTACAATCATAGAGAAACTTAAGCAGAGAATCACTGAAGTGCTGGAGAATATTGTGCAAGACATGTTTGACAGGAACTGGACAACAAACTTGACATGCGTTGTGCATATTGAACATTTGTGAAGCTTTAAAAAATCGGTTATAAAATCTACATTTTTTTTGAATATGTTGATCGAATTTTGATGAATAAATCTTTTATTGTTCAACATGAAACCTATTTAATTTTGTTTGCGACATATCGTTACTCAGATACTCACGTTCTAAATGATGTCAATTTTTTTTTTGGAGGCACCCTGTATATTAAATGTACAATTTCCAGCCAAACTTTAATCTGCAAAAGTTTAAATGCAATATCAACCACTAGCTTTGTCCTCCTGATTGCTTTTTGTCTCTTTCTCCTCATTACTGATATTTCTGTTCCTAATTCCTCTACAGCCTGTAAACCCTTGCATGCTAGTGGTTGCATGGCCTTGCTTAATGTGATACCAATTAAAAAAAAATATTATATATATTTAAAACAAAGAGGGTTTTGAAAGAGGAATTAAAACTTACAATATTTTTTTTTTTACTTGTTTGTGAAAAATATTTCCAAGATGAGATTTTAAAGATTAAATTAATTTATTTTTATTTTGAATGGAAACAATAACATCTAATTCTTGAGGGTAATTGTTTGGCGAGACTTATCAGAAATTTCCAACACAATTACATACACACATACATACCATATGTACACAGACAAACTTTATTTTCTACCCAATAACAGACAATATTACAAACATGCTAACAAGATTCAAAATAACAATACATACTGTTTAAATCAGTGTCTATTGGTTAGAAATTAACATCTCTGTGTAAAATATTTGACCAATCAGAGAAGAGTAAATTTTTCTTGAGTCTACTTTCAGGAAAAATTTCTAATAAAAATCAACAAATTTCAACTTTCAGAGAGTAGAGATGTGGCTATGACCAGTCTGTTTGGACACGAGTAGATACCGCCCCACCGACCAAGTGTGTTATCACAGAAATATGTGTTGGTGACTTCGAACAAATCAACTACAACAAAGATGACCAGTGAATCTTCGCTAATGATAAAAGTATTTTCTAAACTACAGATTTTTCTGTGTACCAATTAGTCAAAGATTATAACTCAACTAAAGACTATTTTTAGTACTTTTTGACTCTTTTAAATTCATGTACTTTTGTTTATAAATACAAATGATTTATTTAACAGGCATACCCATGTTTTCTTTACTTTTATTTTGTTTGGAATTTGGATGTTCGGATTATTAATATAAAAAAAAAACATGGACAACTAAATTTCCTATAGACTAACTCCAACTTTTTTTAACAAAACAATTTTGCATTATCTATATTTGGACTATTATCCTCATCTTTTCTATTTTTATCACTAGTGGATTAAAGCATTGTTTTGTGAATTTGGTGATATAGTAATTGCGAGTTCATTCCCTGGGGTGGGTAGTGTGTACTTGGATTCAGTGGAAATTGGCAAGCAATATTAAATAAGAACTAGATGAGATATGCCTAGACATGGGCAGTAGAATGAAAACAATCTACTCCTGTAGATTAGATAAAGGGTTCAATTCAGAATTCCCTGTAGCTTGATATACACCTAAGGAAGGCCAGAGGGCACAATGGCTGAAATGTTGTGATAATAACAACAAAGATGAGGACAATAGTCTGAATATAAATAATGATAACACCTCATTCTGGATATTCAGACAGAAAACAACTGAAATAAATTTAACATTTTTAAGCAACAATGACAAAATCAATTTCACATCATGCTTGAATAAAAAAAAAACAAAAACAAAAAACCCCCAAAAAACAAAAAAAACGGATGATGGAGTAGGGACTGCAACTAAGGATAATCATTTTTTATGATTTTTATGAATTATTAAATTTTATATAAGTTAATAACTGTCCAATGAGCTATGCAAATTCATTGTAAATTCCACCCTCACTCACTATGGAAGGCAAAACGAAACATGGTTATTTTTGGAAAAAAGTTATAGGATAGTTAAGTCTTTTTATTATTATTAATTTAAAAAAAAAAATGAAGGGATTTGCTTATCTCTACCCTTACAACTTCATTATTCTTCTTGATGTATTTTGTTATTTCTATCTCCACAATTGGAGGAGAAGGTACTCTTCTAATTACCTATTTCAATGGTGAATCTACTATGAAATTAATAAAGATTATGCTTCAAGGCCCTTAATCCCAGAGAGCCTCTAAAACAGCTTTTTTTTTTTAATTGAAGTTTTCAACAAAATCAATGTTTTTTTTAGTGTTTCTTAATAAAATCAAGCTATTTTAGTGATAGAATCATAAGCCAATAGATTGAAGTAGCTAATTTTGGCCTTAGAATATGCTCTAATACACATTTCATATAGCGTCAAAATTCCCTTGTAAATTGGTCAAATTTTAGAATTTGCTTGGAGGCTTGCGGTGCCCGAACCCCCAACTGTATAGGCAAGATTAGCTCGCCAGAATCCATTTATAGTCTACATTTTGGCAGTTGAATTCTCAAATTGCTGAAAATAGTTGAAAAAGGGGCCCCCATGTCTGTTCAAGCTTCAGGGTCCAAAAATGTAGGTCCACTACTTCTTTAATTTTTCATACAAATTTCCATAGTAAAACTGTACTAGTCAAGTAATATTTTCGGTCTTCCTATCCTAAGTTCCTTCTCTACATTCTTGGAGTTCTTTGTTTTTTTAATGTCTACTCAGTAAATGGTAAGCTTCAAGTATGGACCAATAAAAAAATTGCAAAAAAAACCCCCCAAAAACCCAGCAATTTCTACTATTACATCTTTTGATTAACTTGTTATATACGAAATATCTATCTTCTTTTATGTGCCGTGTACCTTCATACCTTCAGGACGTTGGCGATCACAGCTCTCCACAATTTCCTTTCTTTTGTTAGTATATCTGTCTTTCCCTTTTTGCTGTCTTTCCTTATCTGTCAGTGTTCTGCCAAGGCAGGTGATGCCTTGTGTTCCGCTATCTGTTTTGTCTTCAATCTTGTGAATGTCAATTCATGAATTATTTTTAGTAGTGCACTTTTTTTCCTGTAGTTAATTCTGTCATTTTTTTCTTCTTCCGTGAAGTCAATTATTATTTAAATCAAAAATATTTAATAATGCAATATCTATGGATTTTAATGTTATTTTACATCTTATTTTTATCCTTTTTTTAAAAAATTTCATTCCTGCAAGATATTAATTTTGGTGTTGTTGGTGTTTTTTTTAGGAAATTTAATTCAATTCTTTCTTTCTTCTAAAACAAAATAAGGTTTAGTAAGCCGGCGATAAATCGCTTCAGCTTTTCATAAACGTGTCCCGTAGTCAAGCTAAATGTTTTAAATAACACTTGCGATAGTTTTTTTTAAAAAATCAATTGTTATTTATTTAAAAATAAAATGTAAACAAAGGATTTACTTACCAGAAAAAAAGCGAGACGTACCGGTTCTAAATTGCACTCGTTGAACTGAAGAAAACGGTGCTGAATGATGCACAAGGGAGATAACTCTGATTGCATAAACTGCTTTGATATCATCTTTTAGATTCAGTCTCTGTGCATATAAAATAAGAAAGAAAGGAAAAAACAAACAAAAAAAAACAAAAACATGAGAGATGTGGAGAGAGCTGAAAAGAGTAAGAGACATTATGGAGGATCTGTCCAAGATCAAAGTCTCCATCAACCTTTTGCAAAACGGGTGTTTTTACCGGATGAGCCATGATACTTCTTGCAGGAGTATGACTCAGACCTCAACCGCAATATGACTCACACCGTGACGCAATACTTAGTTAAACGAAGACCGACTACTGGAACATTTAATATTCAGTCCGAGTTCAAGACTAGTTAATGACAAATTCTACTGCAGTAATTCTAGAAAAATGATTCCTACGCAATGACCATATAACATAGCCTTTCACAATTAGAATTAAATCATTAAAAATTTATTCTCGAAAAAATGACTTAAATGATAAATGGAGAGTTGTCGGGACCGGAGATGAAGTCTCTTATATCCGGGTTTCTCTTATATCCGGGTTTGGTCTATTTTATGTACATTAAACACAGGCTCTAATTTGGGACCAGAGAAAATCTCTCTTATGTCCGGGTTTCTCTTATATCCGGGTCTCTTATATCCAGGTCTCTTATATCCAGGTTACACTGTAACTGGTTTCGTGGCCGTTCTGAATAGGTACCTCAAAAAAAAAAAAAAAAGAAAAAAATAGCTATATACCTCAGTTTAAAATGAATTTTATTTTTAAAAAAAAATTAAAAATACTTTCCAAACTTGAATTTTAGTTTTAATTCCATGCTTAAACTTATTTTCAAGAAGTAAAATACATTTTTGCGTTTCAAACCGAATTTCAATTGCATGGAATCGTTTTTATTTTGTACTTATAGCTATGTTCAATAATTCGTCGAAAAATAATATAGCATGCTGAAAAAAGGCTTCAAACTTAATAAAAACAGTTTTATCGTGAAAGTTTGTTATTAATAAGAGAAAAGATCAAAGTATTTTTTGATTATTTTAAAAAAAAATTTTATTCTTTTCTAGCACGTTTGTAATTTTGGTTGAAAATCTTTTTTTTTTTTAGGTCAGAGGTCGCGTCATTTAAAATCTATGAATCCACCCAGATTGACAAATCTGTCACCACAAAATAATTCTCTTTATTAAAAAATATTTCCAAAATAAAATATACTTTTGTTTGTGAAACGTTATTTGAGAAAAAATTGCTGATTTAAAGTTTAATTAATCTGAATTGAAATAAATTATTTGTTACTCACTTTTCAAAATATTGCAGCAAAGTTTTTCTAAGATGTTTTAAATTTAATCCATCTGTTGCGGAGTACTTAGTTTGTTTGAATATATTTCTGATGAGAAAGATATTTTTTTAGTTTGGCTGCGTGAACAAAATTAACATCACCACAAACATGGCAAAGGCTGACAAAAACAAAATATAAAACAATGTTTACTAGAAATAACAAAACATTTTTATATCAAAAATATACAGTGTAACCCGGATATAAGAGAGTTGTCGGGACCGGAGAAGAAGTCTCTGATATCCGGGTTTGGTCTATTTTATATACATTCACAGGCTCTAATTTGGGATCAGAGAAAATCTCTCTTATATCCGGGTTTCTCTTATATCCGGGTCTCTTTACAACACTGAAGAATGAATTTACTCAGGTAATTTAAACTGAGTTGCAAATTGTTAAATTGATGTTTCTCACAATAAAAATTGTTTTATGGCAGGCAAAAGTATTCAATTGTGCACAAAATATATGTCAATATGTAGCAATTATAATTAATAATATAGCAGGAGTTATTTACCTTTAACTGTTATTTGAATTAGTTAAGACTTTAAAGAAGATATATTTTTTTTTATCTGAACTCACAGAAAAAAGATTACAGTACAAGAAGACATATTGTGGACTCTGCCTGCACGTCCCCAACAATATAGTAAATGCATTGCAGTATTTTTCAACCAATAAGATTTGTTGATAAAAAATTCAAAAATTGAAAAGGTAGAGGATAACAAGCGGAGTCAGGTACTTACTGCTGCGGTACAGGGAGGCGACTACTTCATCTACATCCTTAGCCGTGGGTCATATGTATGAGTTCAACTTGAGGTCAAATTTGGTTTGGTTTGGTTTGTTTTACGGTATATCAACCATAATGAGTTATTTAATACCAACAAGATTTTTATCGCTGGTTATATTATCTATCTATCTATCTATCTATCTATCTTGTAAATGCTGCTTGGGCTTATGCGTTGAGATTATCAAATGTAATTACGTGTTCTAAGAGCATGTATCTATTATGCATTTAATGATTCAAGAACCCCTCCTACAAAAAAAAAACAGATACCCCCAAAAAAAAAACGAGACTCCAATTGTGCATCAACAATAAAATATATATTGAAACAATAACATACAAAACAATTATGCAATGGTGTGTCGTAATTAAGGGAGAAAAAGTTGCTTCCCTTCAACTGTATTCTGATTAAGATTGAATGTTCAAAAGAATTTCTCTTGAATAAGAATGTTCAGGATTCTATGTTGAATAGAGTCTGGTGTTAGAATAGAATACAGTTAATTAAGAAGTGTGTTGTTTTGGGTAAGTAAGAGAGTTATGGTTCATGAACTTGGCATAGTCACAGAGAGGAAGAATATGTGTAATGTGATACAAAAATCTGTGTCTGTGTGTGCGTTGTGAGCAAAGTCGTGGATTTGTGTAGACAGGCGTAATAGCTGGACTCTACTGAAAGTTGTGGAAACAAACCACTTGCTTATAAAGCTGCTGGTAGGCTCCATGCGACAACGCGGGAAAATTGATTTAGCGCAAAAATGTTTGATTGGCTAAAATTCGACCAATCACTGATTTTGTAACAAAGAAACATGTGAGCAAGTTCATGGCAGAAGAAATTCAAAGTGGTGACTGCGATTGCTAAATTGTCTCATGGAAAGGCAGTATCGATTTACTAGCCAATCGCAGACGAATAAATTGTGGGTGTGGAAAGCGTAGCAGTCGCTACAATCTATCTATCTATCTATCTATCTATCTATCTATCTCAGTATATATTGGTTTGTTTTGTTTTGTTTTACGGCATATCAACCTCAATGGGTTATTTAATGCCGACAAGATTTTTTATTGCTGGTTATATCTATCTATCTATCTATCTATCTATCTATCTATCTATCTATCTATCTCAGTATATATTGGTTTGTTTTGTTTTACGGCATATCAACCTCAATGGGTTATTTAATGCCGACAAGATTTTTATTGCTGGTAATATGTTTTTTTTCCAAAAATGTATTGCTGAGAATATTTTTTCCCTTAAAAAAATCTATTTCTGGTAATATTTCTTTTTTCAAAAATGTATTGCTGGTAACAATCTTTCACCAAAAGATTTATTGCTGGTATAAACCTATTTTTACATTTTCATAGTGTTTTGACCCCATTTTGGGTTTCACTATTTGCCCATAGCTGGGACCCTAATAGGTGCTACCATCCTGGGTCAGGGAGGACCTGGGAACATCAGCAATTAAGAGGTGGTTTCACGCTCCCCAGAACCTCCTGATCAGAAGCCTTGCTGTTAAACGTAGTTTATCGTATTTCCCAGGACGCGGATGTTGTTCATCGTCATACCCAGGTGCGAATTTGAGGCCCACTAGCCTTTCAAGGTGAGGGGACATCCGTTCATCCTTATTGGTGGTAGTTTGGCGTCTGATCGGTGATGAGGGAATATAACTAACTTGGCCTTTTAGGCATTGAATGTAACCAGAGAGTTTTTACCCAATTGGGTAGTTTGTGCAAGATCGGAAGAGGGATCAGTCGCCAGTCTCTGACCATCAAGACTTTTAGACATGCACTTGTATAGCGTCGATCCATTGGCATAGATGTTTACAAGATCTTGTAGCGTTTTTCGTATTAAGACGTAAGATCTGACGAGGTGAAACAAAATGGACAACAGAACGAGGATATGTATGATTAATGCTAAGTTTGTCATATAAAGAAGAGATAGTGGGGGTATATTGGTCTGCCAATCATGGTAATGGTGGTCGGACTGGTCGTGTCGACGGTTGGAGTCGGGGTGCAGACGTTCCGGTCGTGTGACGGTTGGAGTCGAGGTGCAGACGTTCCGGTCGTGTCGACGGTTGGAGTCGAGGTGCAGACGTTCCGGTCGTGTCGACGGTTGGAGTCGGGGTGCAGACGTTCCGGTCGTGTCGTCGGTTGGAGTCGAGGTGCAGACGTTCCGGTCGTGTCGACGGTTGGAGTCGGGGTGCAGACGTTCCGGTCGTGTCGACGGTTGGAGTTGAGATGCAGACGTTCCGTTGCTGGTCGAGGTCGGTGTTGAAACCTCCCGTAGTAATTGCAACAGATAGTATACGGGGAAGGTTGGTTGATCGCTGCTGGTCGGCTGGTCTGGTTTCCAACTGGACATTTTGGGAAGAAAAGAGGAGCTGGCGTTGCGATGTTGTTGGGCATATCGAATATCCGGTGCTGGCGTTGCGTGTTGGCTGGTCAAGTCCGATATCGAAACCCTCCGTAATAATTACAAACGTAGTGTACGGAAAAAGTTATGGACGACGTGCGGGCAGCTACTAGGGACGGAATACCAAGAGTCGAACATGGGCAAGGAGCCAGAAGTAAAGAGGCGAAGTAAAGAGAGAAAGAAATATCCAACTTGCGTCCAGTTGGCAGACAAAAAAAATGGAACCGTAAATTAATACGCAGCTCGGGGTCGACGTCGTGGCCACGAAGGTCAGGAGCCTGGGTACCGACGGTTCAGGCGCCGACCAGGAATTCGGTGAGAAGTCGTTGTCTTATGCTAAGGGAGACTAACAACAGAAATGGTCTAGCTAAAATGCTATAAAATCTCTCTAAAAATGAGTTGAGATTTGCTACGCAAAAACTAGGCTTTAAAAATGCTTAGAGGTGTATTACGACTAGGTTCGTAATACCAATGAACAAAAAGGTAATTATCTCATCTCTAAAACGAAATTACCAGCGTGTAGGGAAC